CGCAGCTGAGTCACTGTAGGAGGTTAGACTGCACCCCAGTCCTCCCCCAGCCCTCTGGCTGCAAACCCGTGCCCCCATACTTAACTCTCTGCTGCTGTGCCCCAGCAGGAGCTATGAGTTCTGTTGCTGTAACCCTTCCCCACAGGCCTGTGCTTCAGGCTTCAACTGCTGTTCAACCCGAATCACCAGACCCTAGTGCCCAGGCCACCACAGCCATCACCCCAAAGACCCCGGCAGGCCTCTGCCACTGTGAACATCCTCAGACTGAGCCTCGGGCGTCCCACCCACATGGACTCAAGGGTCTGAGCTGCTCAGAGGCACTGCTGAGTCTCCACCAGAGCCAGAGAGAGGCCTGCTAAGAATGGATGGAGAAGTGGCAGAATGGAAGGCCGACGTGGCTTAACTATCAGTTACACCAGGAACCCACGAGATGGAGATGTTCCTTAACGCAACTTTGTCCCAGTCCCCTCTGGTTCTGACACCCCCACACCCACACACCCTCTGGGTCTCGAGGTGGCTTTTCTCTGCTCCTACCTGTGTGTTTCTCCTCTCACACTTTGTGTCCTTCCTTGTACATTTGAATACATTTTTATTGTTTGAGACTCTCACGTGCATATAATGCATCTTTATCAAATCTATCAACTTTCCCTCCCCTCCAACTTCCCCCCACAACACACTGAAGGGACACATCTGAGCCTGTGGGCAGCAGAGACAGGGGAGAAGAGGGAGCAGGTGAGTATTGTCACCCAAGAAGAGAGGCGCCTAGATCTTCACAAGTTCAAAGCCTGACTCCTTTGTTCAGAGGAGGACATAGTGGCCACAGAGAAGGGGTAGAAGGTTCTGGTGTCAGACATGGGTTTGCTGGAGAGGAAGCAAGAGTCACAGGCACCAAGGAGCTTCGTGGCTGGAGTTGCATGTATCATCTAGACAGACGGTCAGGACTGGCTGAGGGAACACTAAGCCTTTATTGTGGGAGCACACCCTCCAAGGAGGAGCCAGGAGTGGAGACAGGGACCAGAGGGCGGCCAGCATGGTCTGTCTGTGTGCAGAGGGGGAGGAGCAGGGCGGCCCAGATGTTCTTAGCTTGTTTCTCCATTGCTGTGACAAAACACTCTGACTACTACCAACTTGGGGAGGAAAGGGTTTATCTGTCTTATATCTCCCAGGTCACAGTTCATCAGGGAGCCCAAGGTAGGAACTCAGGGCAAGAACTTGCAGGCAGGAGCTGGAGCATAGGCTCAGATGGAGGATCACTGTGATTTGTTCCCCTGGCCCTTGCTCGGCCTGCTTTCTTATACAACACAGGCCCACCTGCCCAGGAGTGACACCACCCACAGTGGGCTGGGCCCTCCCAGATCACTCAGTAATGAAGAAGATGCCCCACAGATATGCCACAGGCCAGTCCAATGAAGGCAATTCCCCAATGGGGGCTCCCTCAACCCAGGTGTGTCAACTTGACATTAACGCTATCCAGCACAATTTAACTCCTTGCCAACTTGGCACACAGAACACATCGCTATTAAACCACAACCTTTTCATTTCTTGTCCCCAAGACATGATGTTAACATTACTATCACAACATAACATAGTACAACCTTAAACACCCCACAGTCCTTAAAAAATCCGAACACTTAAAAGTTCAGTCTCTTTTAAAAGTCTCCTAACTGGGGGCTCCTGTAAAATCCTAAACAAGTACTATCTTATTTCAAAGGGAAGAATCGGGCACACCTAAGCAAAACCTAAGTCCAGCAAAGTAGTGGGCTTCTGTAAAATCCGAAACAAATACTGTCTTATTTCAAAGGGAAGAATTGGGCACATCTAAGCAAAACCAAAGTCCAGCAAAGTAGCTCAAGGCTGGACATATGGGATTCACTCACGATCTTCTCGGCTCCAAAGGGTTCTGGCAGCTCCACTTCTCTGACTCTGACATCCACAGCACACACAGTTTGTCTTGCAGACCCAGGTTGGCTCCATTACATACCTACTGCTGTCCTTGGTGGTCGTCCCATGGTCCCGGCATCTTCGAAAAGCTGGAGTCTCCACTGAAACCGAGGCTACACCTTCACCAACGGCCTCTTCTTGCCTCTTGGGGTGCAAAGCCTCAGATTCTCTCCATGACCCCTTCAATCCTGGGGTCTTAACTGCAACTGAACCTGCACTTTCACCTATGGCCTTTCCTGGCCTCTCAGAGTGCCAAGCTTCAGCTGCTCTCTGTGACCACTTCCCGCTTTCAACAGCAGAACTATGTAGGGGACTCTTACACATTACCAAGTCCTGCTTAATCAGTATTAACTGTTCCAGTAAAGCAAAGGTTTCACTTCAGGTTCTGGTCTCTTCTTAATCACAGCCGATTCTTCAGCCCCAGCCGACCAGAATCCATAGATTCTCAATTCAAAATATCACACAAACAGCCCTGATAGTCTCTGCTTCCCTTTGAAGCGTCACAAGTCAGGCCTCCATTATCCACAATTCTTTCAGTGTAAATATTCCAAGCTCCACAGCAACAAACTCTAACCATTCAATGGCTTTTCCAGTCCAAAGTTCCAAATGCTTCCACAATCCTCCTAAAAACACCAAGGTCAGGTCTGTCACAATGCTCCACTCTCTGGTACCAATTTCTGTTCTAGTTTCTTTCTCTATTGCTGTGACAAAATACTCTGACCACTACCAATTTGGGGAGAAAAGGGTTTATTTGTCTTACATCTCCCAGGTCACAATTCATCAGGGAGCCCAAGATAGGAACTCAGGGCAGGAACCTGGAGATAGGAGCTAGAGCACAGACCATGGAGGAATGCTGCTTACTGGCTTGCTCCTCTGGCCCCTGCTCAACCTGCTTTCTTATGGGCCCACCTGCCCAGGGGTGGCATCACCCACAGTGGGCTGAGCCTTCCCACATCACTCAACAATCAAGAAGATGCCCCCACAGACATGGCTACAGGCCAGTCCAATGGAGGCAACTCCCCAATTGAGGCTCCCTCAACCCAGGTGTGTCAAGTTGACACTAAATTGACCCAACACAGTAAAGAAACCACAGGAGGACAAGCTCCTCCCCTGATCCCCATTCATCAATGTCCAGAGTTCATTACAGAAAGGCTCTTGTAATAACTCCCTCAAATTCCACTTCTCCTGATGAGAGATGGCTGAACCATCTCTCCAGCCCCAGTGTGCAAAACAAGATGCCCCCACAGACATGGCCACAGGCCAGTCCAATGGAGGCAACTCCCCAATTGAGGCTCCCTCAACCCAGGTGTGTCAAGTTGACACTAAATTGACCCAGCACAGTAAAGAAACCACAGGAGGACAAGCTCCTTCCCTGATCCCCATTCATCAATGTCCAGAGTTCATTACAGAAAGGCTCTTGTGATAACTCCCTCAAATTCCACTTCTCCTGATGAGAGATGGCTGAACCATCTCTCCAGCCCCAGTGTGCAAAACCCTTAAAAAAACTAAAAATAACTCTACCATTTGACCCAGTTATACCACTCCTTGGTATATACGCAAAGGACTCTGTATCCTACTACAGAGATACGTGTTCAGCCATGCTTGTTGCTACTGTTTTCATGATAGCTAGGAAATGAAAAAAACTTAAATGTCTGTCAACCAATGACCTGATGATGAAAATGTGGTACACTGGCACTACGGAGTTCTCAGCAGTAAAGAAAAACAAAGTCATGAAATTTTCAGGTAAATAGATTGAACTAGAAACTGTTATAACAAGTGAAGTAACACAGACTCAGAAACATGTATGTTCTCTCTTGCTTCTGGTCCTACCTCCAGATCCTTAGGTATATGTACCCTGTTTTTACATCGCAAATCCAATGTTTTAGATTTTTCTTCTTGCTAAGGAATCAAAGCAGTTACCTCTCCCTGCTTCAAATGAGGTAAGAAAGCTGGGATTTATGATACTGTGGATCTATAAATTCTGTGCCAAGAATTTCAGGTGCCAGGAAAATAGCAAGGAGCCATGGGGTAAAGGGAAAGAAGGAGCCTGAGAGAGGGCATAGTAGGAGACAGGTGTTATCAAGGAGGAAATGGGAAAAATGGGGGCTATGTCAACTGGGGAAGGAATAGGGAGGACTATACAGGGGGAGAAAGGAGAGATAAATAACAGTTTGGTTGAGTGTGTGTGTGTGTGTATTTATGTGAGTACACATGTGTCAGAGCACATGTGAGTAGTTCAGAGGACAATCTGCATGAGACAGAACTCTCAGGGATAGAATTCAGGTACTCAGGTTGTTGGTGGCGAGTGCCTTTATCCACTGAGCCTTCTCACTGGTCCAAGTATGTTATTTTTCTTTTTTTTTCTTGGTTTTTTTTTATCTCTCACCACTCATCAAAGAAGCTTCTTTTTGCAACAGGTGGAGACTATTACAAAATTCCACAACTGGTCAAACATAAAGAATAAGTGTCTGTCAGGTGCCCAGCCCTAAGTGACACATCTATAATGCAATGTCTATCTGCACCTGAGACTCAGGGAACACAGCAGAACAGGGGCAGAGAGAATATCAGTGCATCTCTCATCTCTCACCAGTGAAACTTCTTCATGCAACAGATTGTGATTAACACAGAGAGTCACAACTGGCCAAAATGTAGAGAACAAGAGACTGCAGAGTATGTCCCTGGACAGACTCCTATTTAAACCTCTGCCTCCCAGGGCTCAGGGACCATTGTGGAAGAGGGGCAGAAAGACTGTAAGAGCCAGGGTTGGTGGACGACCACAAGGAAACAGGGTTTTCCAGACAGCTGGGAAGTTACTCATATGAATTATTTTTAAGACAAGGCTCTCACTGGCCTGGAACTTGCTAACTAGGCTAAACTGTCCAGCACAGTAAATCCCAGGGATCTGCCTATTTCCTGCCCCTCAACACTGAAATTACAAGCACATACCACCTTACTGGGTTACTTTTACATGCGTTCTGAGAATTGAACTCAGATCCTTGTGTTTAGAAGACAAGAACTTTACTGTTGCGAACTTTACTGTTGTGACCCTGTCCCCAGCATTAGTTTTTATTTCTTTTATTCAATATTAATTTTTGAGGCTGAGTCTTGCTATGTGGTCCTGGATGGCCTGGTTCTTACTATGTACCCCATACAGGCCTCAAAAACACAGCAAGCCTCTGGCGTAGCATCCCTGTTGGAATTACAGCCCCGCACCACCATGCCCAGACCTTCCTGTCACTGGCTCGTCTTTTCCGGCTTTTTTTCCACAGAAATAGGCAGTTAGGAATTAAGAGTGGAAATTAATAATCAGAAATGCAGAATGTTCCAGAACCTGGCTCAGGGTATGGGGGAAGGCGAGAAGGATCACCAGGTCTCTGAGACACCATCAAGGACTTCAGGAGCTCCTAGAAAATAGATCAGAGTTTTCAACCAACAGCCAATCACTGGCTGATGCGGGGTGGGGCGTGGTGGGGGGAGACTGTCCAGATGTTGATGTTTTCTGGTGCATAGGATCACAGGATTCCTGGTGCCTGAACAATCAAAGCAAGACTTGGCAGCAGGAACAGACTAGGTGTTACTGCAGAGACAGATGTGCGTGGAGGGCTCCCACTGGTGCACAAGGTCTGGATTTTTAAGGTATCAAAGGCGCTCATATTCAGGTTGCAAGCAGTTTCAGTAGCACAGCCCTTTCCAAACAGCACTGACTGAGGATAGTTTCCAAAAGCTGCCAAGAGAAAGACCCAGGGTCAGTCTCCATCCTCTGCGTCCCCTCCTCACCCACATCCATTGGGAAAGGAAACTGCTCAGGACAGACAGAATCCATGACCTCTGAGTGAGAAACACAAACACAGCTCCAGCTCCAGCTCCATGCAGAGACCGGTCTAGTGTCCTCTGTCCCCACTGTCGCCCCAGCATAGAAGAAAGCTTAAAAGAACCCTCATGTCAGACACAGGCTAACTTTGGGTTCTCTAACTCACGAGGAGAAATGATACAGGCATGGAGGGGGCTGGATGCAGGACCTCAGGGTTGGTCAAAACCCTCTGTGGTACCTGTCTTCTTCAGTACCTAGACTCCCTTAAGAAGAATATTGTACATCCCCCTCAAAGTAAGATCCCCTCTTCCAAAGGCTCTGGGTTCCCTAGGAAAATAACTAAAATCCCATTATATGTCTACATTTCCCATGGTAAACTGAGGAAGAAGACCTTGCCACTGTTGATGACGTCAAAGCTCCCCCAGCCTGTGTGATATTCCATTTTCCTCATTCATCTCAACTTGTCTGGGCAAAAGACTCTTTCCCTGTTTGTCCCAGCACCTCCCTCAAAATTCTTTCAAAAGCAAAGGCAGAACTCGCCTCCAATCCTATTGAGTTCTTAAACTCATCATTCAATTACCTCCTAAAACACCTCACTCATTCCATGACAGTTTTTACATGTTAATCAAAAATGAGCACCTAGTGCCTCCCACTAACTGCAGTCAGGAAAGAAAAATCCTACAGTTGTCTCTCAAGTTCCTATCCAAATGGTATACAGACCTTTCAACAAATATATAATTTTCTCTTGCTCAAAAAAATCATAAATCTTTTACTAAATTGAAAGTGACACAAAGCAAAACTCAAGTGTTTAATTGTGGGCTTTGGTTACCATAACAATGGTACTGGTGGTGACACCCAGAAATGAAGTGCCATCACCCGCCTGTTGCCAGTGCGCCAAGGTCGCATTCCAGGACGTCACAGCAATACAGGTGCCCAAACCTGACTCTTCCACGGGGAACAGTTACGTTCTTCTCTTCAGCTGCCGCTCCCTCCAAACCCTGAAGGAGTACCGATCACTTTGTACCTCACCGTCCCTTTCTCTATGTGCAGATAAGATTTTTAAGATGACCTCCACTCACACCCACCTGCTGGCAGAGGTCCTCTGGTGTTGTTTCCACCCATAGCACATCAGAGTTGGTCTATGTGACTAACAGGACACAAACAGAAACTATGTGTCACTTCTAAGATGAAAGTATTAAAATCTACAGCTCCACTAATCAACCTATGTCTTTCTGTCTCTCATAACTTGTCCTGAGGTAAGCTAGCTGATACGTCATGAGGACGCTTCATGAGGTAGCCTATGAAGAGGCCACAGGAAAAGGAATTGAGACCCAAACTAATCCATGAGTGAGCTGGGAAGTAGATCCTCCATGTGATGGACCACGACCCCTGCTGACAGCTGCGCACAGCCCCCGTGAGACGCCCTGGGGCTCAGAACCACTGGCGGGGCTGTTCTCAGACTACAGACCCACGTGTTCTGAGAAATGATAAATGTTTGCTCCTTCCAGCTGCTGTTGTGACACAATTAGCTATGTGTGTAGTGAGATGCATCTGGTACACTGGACCCTTCACCATATGAACATCAATATGTTTGAGGAAATATTCAAACCTTTGCCCATAAAAATGATGCACTCTGTCTCTGCCCCTGTGCAGTTCAGGGGAGCTGGGTCACATGACATGTCTTGGTCATTGTAGCAGGTAGGACACTGAACACCATTGGCTTGTGAAGACGGCTGAGACACTGAAGGGGAAGAGAAAAGTTTTAATCCTAGGCACGGGCAGAACACGTGGTTGACAACATCACCACCCGGCCCTCGCCCACCATCACAGTCCTTTCTCAATTCTATTAAAAGCCAGCCGCTAGGATGACACGGGCTCAGGCCTGGGAGGCAGGTGTTGGAGGCAGGTGCAATGGAAGAATCTCAGAGATGCGGGGTCAGCTTTGCCTGCTCACCCTGCTCTCTGCCCTGGAAAGAAACTCCTAGACCATGGGAGAGGAGCTAATCTACGTTCTTAACCACATGCTGTTTTAATGGGTGAAGAATTAGCCAGGTAAGGCAGACACACCTATCGTCCCAGCTACTTCTACTGAGAGGCTGAGGCAGGAGGATTCCTTGAGTCCAGGCATTCAAGATCAGCCTGAGAAATATAACATCTCAAAAAAAAAAAAAAAAAAAAAAAAAAAAAAAAAAAAAAAAAAACTCCTCCTGAAAGGAGAGCATTCACACTCATCCTCAGACAAAAGCCCCAAGACCAGTCCCTGCCACCCAGCAGGAAGGGGCGTGTGTCAAACCCTGACCTTGCCAAATGAGAGCATCAGGGGAGGGGAAGGCAAGCAGCACAGCTGCATCCCAGCAGCACAGAGCCCGCCCAGGAGAGGAGACCGGAAGCCTGGAGCGGGGCGGTGAGGGGCAGAGGCGGCCTCACTCACACGATGAGACTGGTTTGTTGCACTGCTCAGCTTGGCAGCATCGCTGTTCGTATCTAAACATCCAGAAATCCAGTGTCACCGAGAACGCCAGGTCAGTGCACGCGTCTGCAGCGCAGCCTTTCTGCTGAGTTGTGATGGTGTTCGAGAACACAGCTGCAAAAAACCAACCCCCAAGAAAATGTCCTAATTCATAAAGAGCACGAAGCAGCCAGCGCTGGAGAATTCAGGCCTGACTTCCCCTCTGTCTGTACTTTCCCACTTCCCCGAGAGGGTCCCTCTACAATCGTCTCTTTCAGGAGCTAAGAGGATGTCCATCCTGCTGACTATGCAAAAATGTAAAATTCAATAAATAAATGAACAAAACGGTATCCAGTGCACTTGCAACGCACATGATGCAAGTGTAACTCACACAGTCAGAAATGTGTGCAGTCACTCCACAGCGGCCCCAGTGATGTCTGTATAGAAACCAGATCACCAGATCTATCCCTGGAGGCACTGCATCTGTCATGAAGCCCCACACCCACCACCTCCCACCTTCCACACTCCCAGACCCCTCCTGGAAGAAGGCAAGGATAAACTGGAAATGCGAGAGTCAGTAAAGAGCACCTTACCTGGCATTCTAAATTCCTGCACTCGGCTGAAGCAGCCTCGTGAGGTTTCACATACACCCAGGGTAGGAGTGCACTCTCTATTAACGCACGTAGAGTTCACACAAGTGTAGCTCTCTGAAGGAGGAAATAAACATCGTTCAAAAGCGATCCCAGAGCATTACAGCTGGTGTTTCCAATAGTCAGAGTCCTAAGACTTAAGGAGCCATGAGCGGCCAGATGGATCCCTGGAGGCTTGTGTAGTTGACAGTGCCATCTCTGAAGGACTCGCCTGCCCACCTCCCCTTCCCATCCTGAAGGAAGGGGGTGCCTGTTACTCTTACCCACAAAGCTGACAGGTGGGATGGTGAAGACACAGACTGTAAGAAGGCTCTTCAGGATGGAGACCAGGGACATGGTGACTCCAAGATGACTGCAGTGGACTCAAGTAAGGACAGCAGGAGCAGAGCTATCGGGCTCACTCCTGTAATCCAGAAGACCGAAAGTGTTGTCTGTTCATTCATTCATTCATTCATTCATTCATTCATTCATTCAGTGAACCAGAATTTTAAAGCCCTGGATATGTACCACACATGACCCTTCAGAGAGATGAAAACACCTTTGAAGATGCCCTGGCTGTCATCAAGACGTCTGGGGGAAAGGGCTTCCTTCCCTGGGAAGGACATCCACTCAGGAGGGCTTCTTCATTCGCTGATCTGGAGGTAACGCAGCTGCTTCCTCAGATGAAATAAGTGAGCTGACCAAGAAATCACTCCTCTGGGGAGCGGACGGAGAATCTCCATGTGCAAGAAAGTTCTGGGCCATGGTACTCAGGGACAATAAAGCCCCACCTAGGGACATGATTCACCACTTCCAACCACCTTCCCACAGAGAGCTAGCCTCCACCACACTGAAGCCACAGCCCTGGCTAGAAATGCTCACCAAAAAGTATTTCTTGTTCTTCTGAAAAAACAGCCTGTGAGGCAGAGAGGAAAGCCAGTGCTCTCTCTGGAGACGAAGGAGAGGGGCGTGTGCTAAGAGCAGTGGGCGCTCCCTGACCTCATCAGCTCCCTGACCTCATCAGCACCGCCTTTATAGCTCAGTGGACCTGATGACTAAAGCATTGTGATTGCCTGGTGATTACAGCATTGTAAATTGATAGATCCTTGGTTTGAAGCCAAATGCAGTAAACTGCACGGTTTTAGACTACCATTCTAACAGCGCTTCCTGGACCTCTAGTTGACATGGAAAGGAAGGGGAAGAGGTTCATGATGCCTACGGCCTGAGGTGGCTACAGAAAAGGTTTTGGGTACTCAAAGGTTAGGGTATGTAGATGCACGGCCACAACCTGTGGTCACCATCATCCACCAGCGGCCCAGAGCGAATTGCCAGCATTCCTCCTGGCAGACTGTCCTTCTTTCTTACCCAAAGTCAGACCCCAGGACGCATGCACCCCTTCAGGGGAGGACTGGTGTGTTCCTCTACATTTCCTTTCTCTGTGTCTGTTTTTTCAGCCAGTCTCTTGTTGTGGCATAAGCTCTGCACCTGTCTAGTTATTTGCAGTGCAGATAAAGGCTAAGCTAGAAGGACACACGTCCTCTGCCCTCCTGCAGTTCCAGATCTCAATCACATTCTCTCAAAATCCAGGCCCGTGTGGTGGGTGTGGAGGGCAGGGAGCAGCCTCCTGGGATCCAGTGTGCTGAGTGTTGAAGGAGGAAGGGCCGCAGGAAAGGAGCAGAGGACTATCCAAATGCCTCAGAGTTTGGGGTTCAGAGAGATGGCAGGGGGATGCCCTGATGGGCCCAGAGGTCAGCAGAGCCTCAGCTGGGATCTCTACACAGGTCTGGGATGCTGGGCAACCAAGGGCTCTGGTTATTGACAAGAATTTCAGCAAACACAGAAACATGAGCTGAGAAATGGCTTGCCACACCCGAAGGGGTGCTGGTGAGAAGACTGTGTGTCCCTGATGGGGAATCCAGCCTCCATTCTAAAGACTGCTGGTTACACACTGACCCCTCGTTCACCACCTGTGAGGTGACGACCAGGGTTTGCTGACACAGATCCTGATATTCTTTCTGGAAATGTCACCAGGGATCCTTCCAAAGACCTCCTTTGAATTTTGCCAACCTAGGAAGGAATCCAGCCTCCCTGTCTGGCAGGATATCATGAGTCCCCCACACCCCAGCTCCACCCCTCTGACATCCTCCTCAGGGTCTGAGTCATAGCCCAAGGCTAAACATTTTACGTTTCTCTTATATCTTCAGCGCATTAAAATGTTTCCATTTGAATTAGGACTGAGCCATAAATTCCTGCCCAGCTGAGGAGACCAGAGATAAGGACTGGTCCTGCAAAGAACGTGCTGAGTGCGAGGCCAGACTTACAGCAGAGCCCGGGACAGGACCCTGGTGAAGCTCAGCTGTTCTGTCATCAGAAAACACCAGCCTGAAGCTTGCAGAGCAGGTGGGTCAGAATGAGCATGCTCTGTCAGCACAAGCAGAAAACCGAGGCCGTGGAGTAAAGAACACGGCCCCATTGGCCAGAGACGGCCCAGTTCTGTGACAACCTCCTCTTCCCCCAAACAGGCCACAGGAGAAGGTACTCAGCAACATCACCCCAGTATGGGGTAACCTGTGGTGGTCACTGTGGGGAAGCTGGCAGAGCCCGCTGGAGGCACACCCTCCCGGGGTCAAAGAAGAGCGGGCGCAATGCCGAGGGCCAGGCTCAGGTTTCACTCGGATGCGTATCCCACGGACATTTGGCTTCAGAGTGGTCTCACAGCCCCATGAGGGTGCTCCATCCCGTCCCTTCATGGGATCAGAAACACATTGTGCTCCACATCCCAGATACAAATACCTCTCGGGGATAGAGGTCAGCTCTCCTGTCAGCCTTCCACCCAGGAACAGTCCTGACAGGGGACCCCTGTTCTCCAGCGCTGGCTCAGGCTGTCCTTGGTCAACTGCTCAGGCTCCCCAGAGCTCTCCTCTCAGCCAGCACCTGACATCTGCACTGCGTGTTTGCTTGTTGTACGTTGCCCCATTTTAGCGAGAATCCGGCTCAGTCACTTTAACAGACCCCACAGCTCTCCACCGCTGATGGGCCCCTCATGTCCCACCATGTCCCAGGTGAGGGCACATCACCTGGCCTGTCTGCAGCAAGAGTCCTCTTGCCTTGGGGACCCCAACCTCAGCTCAGCCCTCGTGTTTCTGTCTGTTGGTCCTCCCTGATGCCCTCTTGCCTGTGCTGGATTGGAACATACCTTGTCTCTCTAGGACCACATTATACCTCCACACCTCTCCTGAATGAAGTCTCCCTACCATCTCTAGCAGTGCTGAATAATCTTTTCCCTTTACATCACCCACCCACCATTCTGCCTCTCAGCTCCCCGGCAGAAAAGGGGGGATAAGACCTGACCCCAGTTTTAGATCACTGTGAAGATCACGAGGTACCTGCTCACTGTGGACAGCTCACAGCTCTGTGCCTGAGTCTCCGTGTCTTGTCTAATCTTAAAAGACCAGGCAACACTTCAAGTAGAACATTTGCTTCCTGGTGAAGCTCTGGAATGTTCCACAAGTCAGATGCAGATTGTTCATCAGACCAACAGTAAACAATAGGCTAGCCACAGGCGCCCAAGTGGGAAGAGGTGACAGCCCTTCTCTTCAGACATGTTGTGGTGCCATCCTGTGAACTGGGAGCCTGGAGCTGCAGGGTTGGCTTTGGCCAATAGGATGGGGCCTCCTCCCTCTCCAGAGATCTCCTTGTCTGGTTAGAGAAATCTGCTGTCTTGCGCTGTGACTCCAAAAGGCCTGGTTAGGAAGAGGGGAGGGCTGATCTCCATCATGGGAGGTGCCAGACTCACAGGATTCCAGAACCAATGGGCCTGCTGAGGCTCAGGATACGAACTGCAGGCATTCACGGTATTAACGGAGAGATGAAGGGTCAGAGTATGGGCCCTGACAGTCACAACAGGCCAAATTCTGCCACCTGTTCTCAATAAGCCAATTAAACAAACACATAACAGCTTTTTAAAAACAGGGAAAGATTTATTAAATGTGGCCACATTGGGAAATGACAAAGATCTAGTGACACGCCCCCCAAAGTCCATCTTCTGCATCCTGTTGTGAGGATTAGGTTTAAGTATAGAGTAAGCAGTCCTGGGGCAGTGTGGCCTGTCCATCATTGTCTGGGCTTCCCCCGTAATTTTCTTCTTACTAGCCAAGTCCCGAGCTCTGAATTCTGAGGTCAATATGGAAGCATCAAGGTTCTGAATACAATGAAGTGGTCCAGAGGTCGTGGTTTAAGTCCTTGTGTCCGGAGTCACCATCACTGCCATTGTTCTGGCATCACTGCCATTGTTCTGGCTTCACCGCCATCTCAGCCCCCCTGTTTTTTTCTTCCTTACTGGCCAAGTCCTGAGCCCCGAATTTTGAGATCAATATAGAAACACCTATGGTCACGTAAATATTCATCTCATGTGATGATGTTCCTCACACATGGTCCATCACACGCATCCGGTCTCTTGGGAGTTGACGTGCCCAGGGCTCTGAGGTCAGCTGCCAGGGGAACAGCTCATTCTGTGGTAATCTTTTTATTTGTTTTTCTTATTGCTGTATTTTGTTGTTATTGTTTGGACTTTTTGGTGGTGGTTATTGTTTTGAGATAAAGTCTCCCTATACCTCCAGCTGACTTGGAACCCACTATGCGGACCAGGCTGGCCTCGATCTCACAGAGATCCACCAGCCTCTGCCTCCCAAGTGCTGGGATTAAAGTTGTGTTCCTTGTGTCCGGAGTCACCATCACTGCCATTGTTCTGGCTTCACCGCCATCTCAGCCCCCCTGTTTTTTTCTTCCTTACTGGCCAAGTCCTGAGCCCCGAATTTTGAGATCAATATAGAAACACCTATGGTCACGTAAATATTCATCTCATGTGATGATGTTCCTCACACATGGTCCATCACACGCATCCGGTCTCTTGGGAGTTGACGTGCCCAGGGCTCTGAGGTCAGCTGCCAGGGGAACAGCTCATTCTGTGGTAATCTTTTTATTTGTTTTTCTTATTGCTGTATTTTGTTGTTATTGTTTGGACTTTTTGGTGGTGGTTATTGTTTTGAGATAAAGTCTCCCTATACCTCCAGCTGACTTGGAACCCACTATGCGGACCAGGCTGGCCTCGATCTCACAGAGATCCACCAGCCTCTGCCTCCCAAGTGCTGGGATTAAAGTTGTGTGCCACCACGCCCAACTATTGCTGTATTTCTGTAATATCTCATGCTATTGGTTACACAGGCCACCCCCTGAATGTAGGAGAGGACTGTACAAGACAGGAGTATCTGGAGCTGAGGGTCACTGGGGGTCATCTTAGAAGCTGGCAGCCACATTTCTCCTTTTAATTGAAAGCTCTTACATGCTTTGATATCCTAGTTTATGAGTCTTGTTAAGCCCTTGTGCTATTATGAGCAGTTGGGAACAAGCTTTTTTGTAAGTATGTTTTTAAGTATCTTGTGCATAAGCCTAGAAGTGAAATCAGAAGTCTTGTGGTAGAGTTATTGTTACCTGGTTTTGCAGCTCCCGGGCTGTAATCCAAAGTGGCTGCTATATTTTGTATTCTCATTCAGCATGAGAAGTTTCTGATTTCTCCACATGCTCAGCAACACTTGGTCCATTTCTTTTTCATTGTAACTGTGCTAATAGGTATCAAACAGCATCTCACTCTGATTTTCATTTACCTTTCTCTGATGGCTACTGATGCTGAGTATCTTTTCAGTAGCTTACCGGCCATTTGGAAATGTAATGCATTTGTTAACTAATTCTCAGTTCATTAGTCCACTTATGATTGGGTTGCTGTCTTATTGTTTAGCTTTTTGAGCTCTTTGTATATTCTAGATATTAATCATCTGTGTTTTGGCCGTAAGAGTTGTAGACGTCAGTCCCTTCCTCAGAGCGTCACAGGGGAGGAGGTTGCAGCCTTCTGCTGCCTATTGGCTTCACTAAAAAGCATG